TGATAAGGAGAGATGCACATGTCCACAATTGGACATGATAATTAGTACTGCTAATACTATTGATAGCTGTATGTGTAGCATTGCAGGTTTTTTTAAGATACATAATATGATAATATAGCTTTTTAGATCAATTGGAATATTGATATTGTCATATCACACATCTAATGGCATGGGGGGGAAATGGATATGGTTGTCATCTGAAGTCCTACTGAAACAACAAGGAAATATGTATGGGCACCAATGTTAACTTTTCAGTCAAGGGCTGAAAGTTAACAGTGAAACATTAACATTAAGAGGCATTAGCCCCCTCCTGTGAAATTCCATGCTTGGACCTTTCCTGGCTAGTTAAGAAGTGAGTGAGTACAAGAAACAAGAGGGTCAGGGGCCAAAGGAGTTATTGCTCTGATGAGGGAATGGTCCTTGTAACCTCCAGCCAGGAGAGGCAAACTGGGAATCAGCTGGTGTTTGGATGGCTCCATTTCACTGGATGTCCAGATTTGACTTCTCCTGCTTAGTAGCTCATCATATCTAGTGTTCACATTTCAGACCTGAACATTCTCACACACCTACAGAGCTGCTAGTAAGAGTGGGGCTTCATGACAGGAGAAGCAACAGAGAATACTAACATACCAGTGCTAGGAAACTTTGAAGCCATCTTATTTGAGACTCCACAATCTGCTGGTTCTCTATGAAGGTGTGATCTTCATAATCAAATCGATTGCCAAAGACGACTGCACAGATCACATTAGAAACAGCACTGCTAAATCTTCTTCTTGGGTCAAAAGTTTGCCCTGCAAGAAAGGCCACAGAAAGTTATGAGTGGGATCAGAGAATGTGGATCTTCCCTTCCACAATCTCACCACAAAATTTGAACAAAAAATGTTTCAAGTCAAACAAGTATGAATGAATATTCTTTCCCTTTGTCCTAAGAACTGAATATGAATACTATTTAAAAATCCTATCACCTCCTTAATCAAGATACAAAGTGGTGTTTCCAGGTTCCACTCTGCAATCCACTAAATATATATTCAAAGATTTTATTGGTAATTTTTGATTACCATATTAACTAAGCAGCAGAGCCTATGTGTAATTCAATGAAAACCCAGCCTACGTTACCACTAGAGCTTCTTCACAGTTTCATTGCTATTTTCCTCTGTCAAGAATTGTTTCCTCTCTGCTGGGGGCTCCTTCCTCTGCCTCTTTCTGCTCATGGCTGGTTTTTCCACTCTCTCCCTTCCCCTGTTTCGCCTCTTTGAAAGCTCTGTTTCCTGTTTTAACTGAGCTCTCCTCTCTCTCTGCCCCTCTCTTCCTCTAATATCTTTTTTTCCCACTCTGTTTCCTCTTTCTCTCTCTCTCTTTTTTTAAATAACCCCACTTTCTTTTCTTTCCATTTCTTTTCCCTTCTTATTCCAGAGATTTCTTCATTCAAAATGATATTCAAAGGTGCCACCGCTCTCTAAATGAGGACTATTTTAGACCGTTTAATTCAGATCCACAGTTCCTTTCAGATCTCCACCCCTCGTGCAAACCGCCTATTGTTATCTGCTTCATGCCTGAAAGAGCAAATCGTTACTGCCTTAGATTACCTGTCTCATTCATCCATGAGGTTCTTTGCTGGCTACTGAATTTGCCTGAAGTGTGATTTAGCATTAGGTTCAAATGATTTAAAAAAAAAAAAGTTCTGCTTCTCTTCCCAGTTTTAATTGAGCACTCTGTTCCCTCCACCAAACCTGTCCACCAAAGATGGTTTTTGAAGGTGCTACATCCTTCTGAATGGATTCTGTCTGTGGCCTTTTAATTCAAATCCACAGGGCCTTACAGATCTCCATCCCTCATGCAGCCTGTTCTTATCCATGTTTTCCTTCCCTCCTTTAGTTTACCTGTCTCATTTACCCAAAAAGTGTTTCGCTGGCTGCTGAATTTGCTTGATTTGTGATTTAGCATTATCTTCAAACCTGGCTAAACATAAGCATAGTTTTAAAAAATCCAGGCTCAGCATATTTTTTTGTAATTACCACATTAAATAGCTTCCTAGCACCTACTTTATGTTCTCTCAGTAACTGCATCCACAGTAAGATTTCATTATTTCTGAGCAAACTTTTAATTTTATGAAGCCAAGGGCTGACACTGGAGAGAAAAGAGGAAGAAACATCTGGAAAGCTGTTGTATTTCCTATGTGCATTTTTTCTTTGCTCCTGAGCACCACTGGGGAAAAATGGGGGGGGGGGAGCACTTATCACTGCCTATCTTACTTTTTCTGTATTTTGTGCATTTAAGTGCAGAAGGATTTGAGCTTGTCCTGTAACTTCACATAGTACAAAAACCCTTTCCAGCTTCTTTTTTTTTTCTTTAAGAAAACACTCTTCCTGAAATTATTCTACTCTGGAGAACAGCTTTCAGTTTCTCTAGAGGACCTTTTGTGGTAGCCACTTCCTCCGCTAGACAAAGGGCTTCCTCCTGCACCCTCTCGGACATCCTTTTCTTCCCCATCCCAAAATCTCGCAAGGTGCACAGTGTGAACCGTCGCAGCTCCCTCCATTTGTTCTCATCACTGGTGCCCAGACCTGAAACCAAAGACACAGGAAAGAGATCACAATGTCAGTCAGTTCTCAGCTTTTGTGGAGGAGGATGTTTAGATATAAATGATGGTTTAAGGCACTTTCCCTTTCAGATCTTTGTCACATTCATAGTTGAAACAGGGCACTCCAACAGCAAAGTTCAAAGGTGTCAATATTCTTTCTTCATGCTTTTTCAAAGTCCAAATTGCTTTTGAAGGTACACAAAATGATTTTTTGACATTACTCCAGATGACATCAGCCAAAAGTGTCTTCTTTGGAAAAGCATCTCTGTGTGTCTTCCTAAAGGATAGTTTAGAGGTGAGGGGTTTTTTGTTTTTGTTTTTTTGCATGTAAGGAACCACCTGAGCAGATTTCAGAAATGACCAGTGGAAGGAAAATGATGAAACAATGTTTCCCTCCCTCTCCAAGAACCATGACCAAATCAACATCTTTACAAAACCTCATTTTAAGTGAAACTTTCACAACTAA